TGTCCCTGCACAATGCTGCTGTCGCCGCCGTAGTCGGCATCACCCCAAGTCACAACGGATCCATCGCCAAGGATGGCAGCAAATGCACGGGTGGAGGCTTGGACCTGCTGCACATTCTTCAGCTGATCCTGCACAGCACTACTGTCGCCACCTTGGCGAGCATCACCCCAGGTCACAACCGATCCATCGCCAAGAATGGCAGCAAATGCAGCGCCAGGCCACTCACCCGGAACAGAGGCTTGGATCTGCCACATTCTTCAGCTGGCCCTGGACGGCACTACTGTCGCCACCAGAGCCATCATGACCCCAGGTCACAACGGATCCATCGCCAAGGATGGCAGCAAATGCATGGTCAGAGGCTTGGACCTGCCACACATTCTTCAGCTGCCCCTGCACAATGCTGCTGTCGCCAGCGCTGCCAGCATCACCCCAATCCACAACGCCAGCGCCGCCAGCATCACCCCAGGTCACAACGGATCCATCGCCAAAGATGGCAGCAAAAGCACCGCTGGAGGCTTGAACTTGAAGTCTGTGCACGTGCAATGTCAGCGAGCTTCCGTTCTGAATTCCGGCGCTTATGATAGCTTGGCCTCCATCCAGGACAACCCCAGAGGAGTCCAGCAGCCGCCCTTTCCCGACTCCAAGCGCGATCTGCGCCCGTCGGCTCAACGTGTGCACTGTTTCAATCCGGCCTGCTTGCACAGTAGCTTTTTTGCCACTAAGCAGTCCAACTTCCACATCAATCGACATGCCAAACTCCGTAGAGGGTATCTTCAAAATAGACCCCTAATTACTGCAAGGCCCGGCTATAAAGGTCTGAACAGATAGTAATATGATACCCTTAACCACAGTCCACATATGTTCATGCCAGAATTTTCTCGAGAATCGCATGTAAACTCTTCGTAGGCTCCGAACATTACCTCAACCAATATGCATTTGCATGATACCCCTACAGGGGACCTTGTGCCTTCGTGCATCAACCCTAAACCCTGTAAACCCTACGCACATGCTGCTCGCAGGACGCCGAGACCGCAAGCGCACGGTGTGGGGTAAGGTGTTTAGGGTTTAGGGCTTAGGGGGTTGAGGGAGGGTTGAGGGTTTCAGGTTCTTTTCCGGCCTCCCAACCCCAAAACCCCAAACGCTAAACCCTGAACCCTAAACCCCTAAATCCTAAACCCCTCAACCCTAAACCCTAAACCCTACACCCTAAACCCTAAACCCCTAAATCCTACACCCCTAAAGCCTAAACCCTAAACCCTAAACCCCTAACCCCTAAACCCTAAACCGCGCAAAAGCTGAGGTTTGGGGCTCAGTAGGACGGTTGGGTCCCTTGTTCGGTTTAGGGTTTAGGGTCAAGGATTTACGGTTTAGGGTTTAGGGTCTAGGATTTAAAGTTGAGGCTTTAGGGTTTGGGGTCTAGGGTGTTTGGGAGTCTTAAAGGCTTTGATCCCCCGATTGTATGAGGTAAGGGTGCCACAAGGGCTTTGGTGGCCTGGAAGAGCTTTCTAGAGATTCTTTCAAGGCTCCATCAGCGTCTGAGAAGGGGTTTGTGGGGTTCAGGGTTTAGGGTTTGGTGTGCAGGGTTTAGGGTTTAGGGTTCAGGGTTTCTTGGGTTTGGCGTGTAGGGTTTAGGGTTTAGGGTTTCGGGTTTAGGGTTCATTCAGGTTTAGGGTTTGGTGTGTAGGGTTTAGGGTTTAGGGTTTAGGGTTTAGGGTTTGGTGTGTTGGGGACAGGGCTATTTATGAGTGGCTAACATGCCTGTAACAGCACTTGGCGATTTATGTTGCTCGGTCGGGCCCTGTGTTCAGGGATGGTTTAAGCCCGCTTGTTGGGGAGGGCACCATAATAATGTAGGGGCCTCAATAATTAGAACAGAATTTTGGGCCCCTTTAGAGTACATTTATAAGGAGGAACCCCAACAGTAATATTGGTAATTCTTTAGGCTTCTATATTGCAGCCATTGCGCTGCAGGAGACAGGGATTTCCAGAGCAAGGGAGCTGTTTGTCCACAGCCCCAGTTACAGGCTGAAGCCCATCCCACCGTGCACAGGGACTCCAATATCCCTTAATTCAGGAATATACCCTAAACCCTGAACCGTAAACCCTAAACCCTAAACCCTAAACTTAAATCATATTAGGGATCCTGCTATAGTTTAAGGTATATATCCTTAATTAAGGGATCTTGGAGTCTCTGCGTGCACTGTCTCTACGGCAGACCTTAGCACGCTTGTGCGATACCGAAGACGATCTCGCACTACAATTTAAAATTTAAAGTTTAGGGTACCCTAAACCGTTGAACCCTTTGCAAGGTGGGCATGTGCATTGTAGCAGTGTATGATGATGGTGCAGCCTCGCTTCGGGTCAGTCACAACTTTTTCATGGTACCGCAAGGACATAAGTAACTCTAAACCCTAAACCCCTAAACCCCGAAGAACTGCAACCCAAACCCGTAAATCCATCTGGGCGTCTACTCTGCGACATGTCAGTCGTGACTGCATGACACGTGAAGGGATGGACGAGGCTTGATGTTCTGCGCCGCGTCCACGTAATTTGGGGGGGGTTCTGCAAGGGTTTCTTGAAGGATTCCTTTAAGTACAAACTAGTAAAGGCATTACTCTGCAGGCACTTTCTGGTGGAATAAAGGGCTCTGAGTAAAGCATACTAATATTCCCTTATAGTTCCTAAAGACATCAAAGTATACCCCAAACCCCTGTCCAACCCCTGAAACCTCATCATAGAACGCCCATGTGGGGAGGTGGGTGAATGTAGGCAGGAAGGAAGGTGGCAATTCTTATAGCTACCCAGTGGAAACCCTAATCTAATCATGAAGGCTCCTCTATTGCAACTGTCGTCCTTCCAGGCTATGCGCGAGTGCACGATGCCGCAACCTTTCGTGTCGCACCCCCACCTCTCACCCTGCGGGTCCATGTACCCAAATAGTTTTTACTTTGGCCTTAAAGTAGTCCCTTTTTAGGTACTTTGGGGCCAAAGTATATGCTATTTGGGTACATGGACCCTTAGGGTGAGATGGCTCAGACCCATATGAGGATGTAGGGTTTAGGTAATCCTCCAATGCATCAGCCGGCACACTGAAGCTTCAAAACCCTAGGCCCTAGAAACCAAAAACTCCAAGCCTCAAGCGAAAACTCTAAGCTTTCAAATCTCTTCCATAACCCTAAACCCTAAACCC